AACAGCTTTATTCAAAACCCTCCCAAAAGAACCAAATCTCCATTAATCAGAATAAAATGAACAAGGATCATCTGTGGACCATTCATGCAACTCAGAAGTTAAGAATGATGGAAACAAGAATGCAGGTGATTCTCAGAACTTCATGGAGTGGGTTAATAGACCACACACACACTGGGGTGGCCATACTGCATGATCCCATTTCTATGAAGCTTGGAAACAGGCTTGGGGAGACTTTGGTGATAGGAATCATGGCAGTTGCCCAGGGGGACTGGCTGGTAGAAGCAGGATTCCCAGAGGAACTCATTATCTGATTGTGGATGGTCTGAATTTTATGTAATGAACCTGTGAAACTTCTGTGAATGGCAGTTGTATGGAGGGCATAAGCACAGGATGCAGACGAATTGCTGTGTGGCCTTGGGAATATCACCAACCTTCTCTGAGCCTCACTCTCCTGAGGCAGTACTGTGAATGCAAGTGCAGGGACAGATGTGGAGGTCTGGCCATGTGGTCAGTGCTGCTATCATCTCAGTCAGCACTGGAAGCCCCTTAAAGACCAACAGCTCCATTTCAGGGCTCAGAGAGGGAAGCCGGGAAAGGCCAACCACGGTGAGAGCAGTCAAGAGGGGGATTCTCTCCGTGAGAGCCCCAGGTCAAAAGCCCCTTGACCCAGCCCTTCTCAGGTCCTCTTGTTTCCAAATTGGGGGTGGGGTGGCTATGTGTCACCCCCGACAGCCACCTTCATGACACATGTAGTCTCTCCCACCGGAAGGTCGTCTCTGAAAGGACACAGGCAGAGCCCGTTCAGTGTGACTTCCCCAGCAGCTAAACCAGAGCCAGGCTTCCTGGCACATAGTAGGTACTACCTGACTACTTGTGGAAGGAATGGATGGATGGATGAGCGAGTGAGCAAAGAAATGACCGAGTTCCCTGGTAAAGGGTCAAAGGACGTGACCCTGAGGTCAGTGGTGAGAAAACGTCACCCTCAAAGTCACATGGCTGCAGGGACAGAGCAGGACCAAGGCCTGGTCTCTCATTCCCTCAGATCTGGCCAACACAGTTCATTGCTGCCCCTGCCTCGCCATCTGAGGCCCCAGAAGAAAAGCTCCTGGGCTGGGAAAGGGACCCATGCACGTGCAGATGGCTCCATGTGGTCCTGCCTGGACTCTGACTGCTGGTGCTATTTGTGCCTCAGTTTCCCCATCCAGAACACAGCCGCCTGCCTGTCCACTGACATGAGCAGAGCTGGTCCTTCTGCCCCCTTCCACCCTTGGGAAGGACTTGCCCAGCCCACGACGGGGCAGTGAGGCCAGCAGGTGCCAATGAAACAGCCGAGGAGCAGGCCTGGAGGCATCTTGCTTTTCCGATACTATCACAGCAGACCAGAAACAGGACCACTGAGGGGAGCTCACACTGACGGAGACCAGCAGTGACTGAGGGTGGGTCGGGAGGGGACGAGAATAGGGTCTGGTGCTGAGAGTGCCAACTTAGGTCAGGGACACCAGGGACAGGAGTCTGCTGTCACACTGCTCCACGGGGTCACAGCCATTGACACCCTGGGATGCTGCTGCTGTGGGTGGCATGCTGGTTCCCGGGCCCTGACCTTCAGGCTTGGGCCTGGGCTTGCCAACAGAAGTCATCCGGGTACGTGCCTGACACACGGGGCCTGGCACTCAGCTGGTAAGCAATCATTCTAAGATGGGCATAGTGGCTCATGCCTTTAATCCCAGCACTCAAGAGAGAGAGAGAGAGAGAGAGAGGCAGGCAGATCTATGTGAGTTCAAGGCCAGCCTGGTCTACATAGTGAATTTCAGGATAGCCAGAGCTACATAATGAGACTCTGTCTTGAAAAAACAACAAAATCATTCTAGCTGGGCAAGCTTACTGCTGTGGCCAGTGTATCAAAATAAAGATGATGCTCTGATGGGCCACCCACAGTGAGTCTGCATTCAACACAGACCTGTTGTTAATTCCACAGATCCTACAGGCAGTGGTTGGGGAGAGGGGAAAGGGGGTCAGTGAGTGTGGGGGAAACAGGATTTAGATGGATGTGGTCTAATGCTGTGTCCTGGTCCTGCTATTTATCTTTTCTGGGACCATGAAACGGGATGGTAAAACAGGTGCATGCACTGTTGCCCCAACCAAACGAGAACTGGAAGGATGTAAAGGTCAAAGGCTAACTTTTCTTCTAAACACAGGACACACAGCCTTTGGTTGGCTTTTAGAATCTATTTCTAGGTTTCAGTGTGCACGAGACACAGACACACGGGGCTAATTTACCTCCCCCCTTCTTTCCGTCTCTCCTTCTCCCGCTCTCTTTCTTTCAATAAGGTCTGCTGTTACTCTGATGGTCTGGAAGGCTTTAAATATATGGTGGAGCCCAGGCTGGCCTTGAAGCCGTGGCTGTCCTCCTGCTTCAGCCTCCCGAGTGTTAGGTTTACAGTTGTAATTCACCACATGCAGCCACATTGATTGTATCGCTTTACTTGCAAAGCTGGGCGGCAGCTGGCAGAGCTGGGGAGCGGCAGTGACCTGGCTCCTGCTCACACTGGGGGGCGGCAGTGGCCTGGCTCCTGCTCACACTGGGGGGGCGGCAGTGTCCTGGTTCCTGCTCACACTGGGGATTGGCAATGTCCTGGCTCCTGCTCATACTGGGGGGAGGCAGTGTCCTGGCTCCTGCTCACACTGGGGGGAGGCAGTGTCCTGGCTCCTGCTCACACTGGGGGGAGGCAGTGTCCTGGCTCCTGCTCACACTGGGGAGCGGCAGTGGCCATGCTCCTGCTCACACTGGGGATTGGCAGTGTCCTGGCTCCTGCTCACACTGAGGGGGCCCGGCAGCAGTGGCCAGGCCCAGTTCACACTCTAAGTGAAGGGAGACTGCTTTTCTGCCGCTGATCATTTGTCAGTCAGTCATATAACCTTGAGGACATGTCTCTAGTGGTCCTATATATTCATCTATTTTCAGACAGAGTCTCACTTTATAGCCCTGACTGGCTTGTCTGGAACTCATAGAGATCCACCAGCCTTGCCTGGCCAAGGAGTCCCATTTAAAGGGACATATGTTAGGGATTCCCCTAAAGCTGCACATCAGCAGCAGCAGCAGTAGCAGCAGCAGCAGCAGTAGCAGCAGCAGCAGCAGCAGCAGCAGCAGCAGGCCCTCCTCTGTGTACAGCACCAGCTCCCACCAGAGCTCTTCAGGTTTTGACCGAGGATGGGGGTGGGGTGCAGAACATGGGCTGGTGATTCATTCTGATCGGCAGCTCCTCTGGGGACATTCTTGGGCAACTCTATCCTTGGTTCTTAGTCCTAAGCCCTGGGTCAGCTTGTCCTAAGGACTGAGAGGCAGTTACAGCCCCACATGTGGTCTGTCCTAAATCCCCACCCTGCCCTCTGAGCAGAAAGGCAGTATCTAGATCCCTCCTTGGAGCTGGGCTATTGGCCAAAGAGCTGCCTTCCTGCTGTGCTCTGCTCTACCGTACCTCAGCTACCACCAGCTCTGGATGGGAAACAGAGGCTTGGCTGCCCTCTCTTCCTGCCTTCTGGTAGGAAGACAAGTGACTGAGGACACACACCCTGCTGTTCAGTCCCCTGAGTTCCTCTGCCCATGCCCTATCAAAAGCATCTTGGAGGGAATATCATCAACCCGAGCACTGGATGCAGAGCTATTTCAGGGCAGCCACTGCCCCTCTGTGTCTCCCTCCCATCCCTGGGCAATGAGAGTAGGGATTGTGGCTGTTTACCTGGCAGCAAGGAGGACAAGCTATGCTGTGCAGGGCCTGGTGACCATGGCAAGGTCCTCTCCTTGCTCTCAGCTCAAGGCCTGGTACTCAGACTGACCCAGCTTAGTGTCTGCTCAGGCCCCGACCCACCACAAGCGTCAGCAAAACAGGTGGGGACCTGACCAACTGCGATGAAAAGGTATTCTGGAAAAGTACCTTTCAGACTACTAGAGGCTGGGGCTGGAGAGATGGCTCAGCAGTCAAGAGCACCCGCTGCTCATGACTTCCTATAATCTTTGACTCCAGGCCCAGAGGCTCTGACGCCCTCTTCTACCCCCATGAGGCACTGCATGCACTTGGTACACATACATATATGAAGGTAAAACCTTATATACATAAAAGAAAATTATTTTTTAAAGGTGGGGGAGGTAGCTGGAGAGACGGTTCAGGAGTTAAAAGCACTGGCTGCTCTTCCAGAGGACCTGGATTTGATTTTCCAGCACCCACGTGGCTGCTCACAACTGTCTGTAACTCCAGTTCCAGGGGATCTGATGCCCTCTTCTAGCCTCTTCCAGCAGCAGGCACGAATGTGGTGCATAGACATACATGCAAGCAAAACACCCATACACGTAAATTAAAAAATAAAAGACTAGCAGGAGAAGGTGGCCCTGAGGTCTAGAGATACCTGGGAAAAGGAAGAGCCACATTTTGGGAGAATGGACTCACAGCTGCCCCTTGGACCTTTCACTGCCCTGAACACTCACTCCACGCCAGACCAAGGTCCAGATGGGGCCCAGTCCCACAGAATTACAGTCATGGCTTGAGTCCGTCCACTCCACCTCCTGACAGTGCACCCCACCCACCCACGTCCTGCTGCCCAGAAAGAACCTGCCGTCAGGGCGTATGGGTCAGCTCTGGTCACTTTGATGATATGACCACAGGTTTCCACGATGAACTTTGTCCCTCTCTTCTGGGCTGCGTTTATCACAATGACAGCATCACAGTCTCTGTTTACTCATCAGTCTTCCCAGGACCAACCGCGACCTGGACCTAGGAGACCTGGGCATCACCAGATTCCCACTCCTGGGTCCCTTGGCAGGCAAAGATCCTGGGAACTCGCGCTAGCCCTCAGACCTTCCAGCCCTGACCCCTACAGTCGCCTCTTCCCCGTGGTGCTGTTGCACCTTGGCTCCCAGGGGGCACTAACCGAGGACATTATCCACAGATAGGCGGCTATGCCCACTCCACATGGAGACTGCTGCCACCAGTGGCCCTCGAACTCACCCATATTGACGAAGCTCATGACCAGGTCGGCGCGGCCCAAGTGAGGCTGAGGGGGCCCGCCGTCGTCGTCATCGGCCATGGCGTGGTACAGGTCCAGCATGAAGAGGGGCGCGGACGCTGGCTGCCGGGAGGCAGCGGGTGGCACACGGGGTCGGGGCCGCCCAGGCAGCCCGAGCACCGCCAGGATCTCTCGCTGCATGTCTCGGCGCTCGCGCGCTCCCAGGCGACGCTGGGGACAGGTGTGTGGGGGCCGTGGGCCGTGGCCGCCGCCCAGAGCGCACAGAGCCAGGCCCAGCAGCCAGAGCGGCCCAGGACGCACGGCCATCGCGGACGCTCAGCGGACGCGCATCCACCGGCAGCCGGCCGGGCCCGGGCGCGACGCCCCGACAGCGAGGACCGGACGGCCGCGCGGATCCCCTGAGTTCGCACCTGTCGCGGGCAGCTCTGCAGCGGCCGCGCACCACACGCTCGGCGGTCGGTCGCTGAGCCCGTAGGTCCCGCAGAGCAACTTGGGCTCGGGCGGCGCGGACCCGCCAGTGTCCGGAGCGGGACCTCCTGGTGGCCTCGCAGACAGGCGAGCGCCTTCTCGGCCCCGCCCCTGCCCGGGCCAACCAATGGGGGGTAGGGGGCGGGCCCGAGCGCGGACCGACGCCCGCCCGGTGTCTACGCAGCTACGGCTGCACCGAGTGGTGGGAGCGCCTGGTGCGACCCAGAGGTAAGTAACGGGCCGACTGGGGAAAGGCCTTCAAGGGTGTCCTGGGTCCCCATCCAGATGGCGGGGCGCACGCTGGGCTCCGCGCGGAGACCTCGGGGTCTCTGAAGCATGCACCTGTGCCCTAGGCCGGGTGGGTTCCTGAGTCCCCCGGGAACGGTGGGATCCGCAGCGTCGCCCTTCTCCTCGACATAGCGACATAGATGGAGTCCAGACATAGTTCGGCCGTCTGGGCTGGGCTGATGCCAGCCGTGCCGCGAGGGAGAGGCACATTCCGTTGCACACTCCTCGGGTGCCAGGCGTCTTCTCCACCGGGTGGATCCCGTTGCTGACCCAACACGGGATGGACTCTGGGAGCTCCCCGAAAGGGGAGCCACCTTTGCTTAGCTCTTCATTTGTGACAACCTCCAGCAGCTTGCAAGAAAGGGACCCCGGGAAAACTCCTTGACTTACACCCTTTTCTGCATTCCCGTCTCCTATGGCTGCTGCCACAGCATTCATTGACTCTCGGTCGTAAAGGTTCTGGCGCGGCTTAAGTAGCACCTAGACCAAGCTGAAAGGAATTGACTAAGAAAGGCGGAAGTCAGTGGGAGGAAAGTACCCAGCAGAGGGAATGACTGTGTCAGGCTGGGAGTGTCAGAGGTAGCAGCGTTTCCAGCCTATTCTTAGTGTTCGTTCACACACCATTATGGGGCACACAGCTCTCTCTGTCTCTCTCTGTCTCTCTCTCTGTCTCTCTCTCTGTCTCTCTGTCTGTCTGTCTGTCTGTCTGTCTGTCTGTCTCTCTCTCTCTCTCTCTCTCTCTCCTTCTTTCCTTCCATTTTCCTTCCTTCCTTCCTTCCTTCCTTCCTTCCTTCCTTCCTTCCTTCCTTCCTTCCTTCCTTCCTTCCTTCCTTTTCTTCTTGGTTTTTCGAGACAGGGTTTCCTCTGTGTAACAGCTCTGGCTGTCCTGGAACTCACTTTGTAGACCAGGCTGGCCTCGAACTCACAGAGATCCATCGGCCTGCTTCTGCCTCCCGAGTGCTGGGATTAAAGGCGTGGGCCACCACTGTCCAGCAGTCTTTTCTTTTTTCTTTTCCTTTCTTTCTTTTTTTTTAAAGGCAGATTCTCACTATGTAGCCTTGGCTGACCTGGAACTTGCCCTGTAGACCAGGCTGGCCTCAAACTCATAGAGATATGCCTGCCTACGCTTGCCTCTGGGATTAAAGCATGTGCTATTGTGTCCCAAAAAATATTATTATTATTTTTAACAGATGGGGAAACTGAAGCATACAGAGGTTAACTGAAGAGCTGGAAGTGAAGGGTGGCTGCTGGAGGGGCTTCCAGGAGGGAGACCATAAAGGACCCTGCAGGTGGTGCTACACGAGCATTTGGGCCTGTTATGGATTCTCCAGTGTGGATTCAAAATAAAAATCCAAATGAATGTATAATGGTCACCAAAATGTGGTGAGGTGATCTTTCAAAAGTTTGCTTTTTCTTAAATGTGTGCACTTCCTGTGTACAAGTGTCTTCTCCTCTGAGGTCAGAAGAGGGCGGTGGATCCCCTGGAACTGGAGTTACAGCCCGTTGTGAGCCACCTGATGCTCTGGGAACTGAACTCAGGTCCTCTGTGAGAGCAGTGAAGTGCTCTTAAATGACGAGCCATCCCTCTAGCCTTGTTTCAAGTTTCAACTAAATTCTTCAAGTAATCATCCACAGTCTGTCTTTCATCTAACAGGTCGATCTTCATCCTGTTTCAAAGCCCCCATAAAGACTGGAGGAGCAGGAAGACTGCTGCAAATTCAAGGCCAGAATAGTTTATATAGTTCCGGAAGGCCAGGACTGGCTTCATAGCGACATAGTTAGACCTCGTCTCAAAACAAACAGAGCAAGGAGGAGGAGGACAAGGATGGAAAGAAGGAAAAAAAAGGGGGGGGGAAATGTTGGACTTCTCAGGACGATGCTGCCAAGGAGCCTTTAAAACTGCCACACTGAGGTTAGTGCTAGACTGTGGGTGGGAGGGAGACAGCTATAGTGATGGGGGAGGAGACTGATAATGATTCTCGTGATGGGATTGATGACTGAAGACGGTAGTAAGATGTTGTCTATATAATTTTTGTTCAGGAGCTCTTGAGTCTCCTGCACACAGCCCCCCCCCTCCCCGCCCCCTCTGGACCCTGGGTACCCTCTGCACCAGACTCCACACCATACCACCAGGAACCTTCTACCCCACCTGGAATTCTCAGGTTGCATTCTAGGCCACCAGCATGGGACTGGTTTTGGGGGTGGGGTGGGGAGGTCATTCATCTCAGCTTAGGAGCTAGCCACCTACTTACTACAGTGCTTCACATTCTTGTAAACAGAAGCAGGGTTTAGCCAGCCACCCAAGAACCACCACCCAGGATTCAGTTTGTCAGTGGCCATGGTGGGTTGCTCGCTACTGGGCCCTGAACCAAGACTCCACCTTTGAGCAGTTCCCTCTCTAACAGGGTTGACCATCTGGGAACTTGGTCATTTCAAAGGCAGAATGAAAGCTGTACCCCCAGAGGAGCCGGTGGTTTCTGAGGGTGAGTAGGGGTGCTGGGAAGAGGAGGTGGGTTCCCATGAGTGGAACTCTGAAACAGCAGAAAGACCAAGGTGTCTAAAGTTTCTTGGAGAAGACAGTGTCCAAACGTGAGCTTTCTGGCTCACCTGCTGACTGTCACTTTGCTAAGTTACTGAACTTTATCCTTAGGGGAACTCAAGATCATAGAATTGGGACCTGTATTGAGATGTATCTAGAGTGCAAGTTCTCCATAACGTATGGAATGAGCATTCCATGAACGTTAGCTGTTGATGTATCAGCTAAAGCCCCAGCAGACACTAAATTTGTATCATTTATCTCGAATGTGTGTGCACACGCATGTGCATGTCATGTGTGGAGGTCAGAACAACTTCTGGGAGTAGTTGGTTTTTCTCTTACCGTGTGGGCTCTGGGTTGAGCTCAGGTCATTAGCCTTGGTGGCAAGCACCTTTATTTGCTGAACCATCTCACTGGTCATTAAACATGTCTCAGAACTGTTATTATGGCGGAGAAAGGCTCACGTACAGGTTAGATGATGATTTTGTGGAATCCATTCCCAACCTTTTTGTGGGTTCTGGGATTAAAGGGAGGTCTCCAGGTGTGTGTGGCCAGCACCTTTATGGCTGATCCACCTTGTCAACCTCTGTAGCATTTTAAGCCCTTTACTTGCCTATTTCCTATGTCTTCCACAGCTTCCTGTTGAATGGAAATAAGTTTTCTGTGGTGCTACTAAGCTTTTGGACACCTCCCTCTTTCTTTGAGACTGGGCTTCTCTGTGTAACCTTGGCTGTCCTGGAACTCACTCTGTAGACCAGGGTGGCCTGGAACTCACAGAGATCTGCCTGCCTCTGCCTGTGCTGGGATTGAAGGCGTGCACTGCCACTGCCCCACTTCTGTTTTTGAAAGATTTATTTTAATTGTGTGTGTGCATATGAGTGCCTATGTTCTTAGAGGCTAGAGGCATTGGATTTCTCACCCTGTGTAGGTGCTGGGAACTTAGCTCAAGACCTGCAAGAACATTATATGCTCTTAAACCCCGAGCCACCTCTCTAGATGCTCCCCACCCGCACCTGCCAGCTGAGCTTTGATGAACACTTAGAACCTAAACCTGGAAAGAAAGTAAGAGCAGGTAGTCTATCCCGCAAAGATGGGTGCTAGCCACTCCTGATATGCTCCTGCTGCGGGGCACCAGGAAGCAGAAGCCAATTTGGGTGAAGGCACTATCCTACATTAAATTCCAATAGCTTTTTAAGGAAAAGATTTGAAATTAAAAACAAATCTATTTAAATTATATGTACATAAAGCTGGTTGTGGTAGCACAAGACTTTAATCCCAGCACTTGGGAGGCAGAGGCAGAGGCAGAGGCAGTGCAAGACCAGCCTGGTCTACTTAGTGAGCTCCAGGACAGCCAAGGCTATATAGTGAGACCTTGTCTCAAAAACAAAATGAGGAGGTGTGTTTGTCACATGTAAGTACATACATGTGAATGCAGATGCCTATTGAGGCAGTCTGATAAGGGTTCTGGGAGAAAACCCAGGTTCTTTGGAAGAGCAGCAAATGCTCTTAGCATCTCTCCAGCCCCAAAAGATTTTTAATTATGAGTATGTGTAGTATGTGGGTATGTGCATGTGTGCACAGGTATCCATGGAAGCCAGGAGATTCCCTGGAGCTGGACTTACAGGTGGCTGTATGCCACTGTATGGATGCTGGGAACCGAACAAGTCTTCTCCAAGGGCAGCAAGTGCTCTTAACGGCTGAGCCAACTCTCCAATCCCAAGTTGATAGCTTTAAGGTCACCCAGGAAGTGTGGAACACACCAGGCTAAATATTCCCTTCAATCTGAACAGGTGGCCTTATGGAGCTTTGGCAAACAAGCATTTACATCTTGCCGAATTCTAGAGTTCTAAGAGGGGCATATGGCCTGAAGAACATAGATGTGAGTTTGAACCCTTTCTTGCGTTCTCATTATTCAAGTCAGTATCTGGTTGTACTAGTTGAGGCATCAGACTAGCACAGGAGTCCCAGGTTCAACCCCAGAAACATTCACTAGTAGCCTCACACTGTGATCTGAACAGACCTGCCTCTCCATCTGTAAAACAAAGGAATCAGAATGGACTGCCTTCCAGAATTGAGAGATGTCCAGTGCGCTCAACTTCACCTGAGCCGTCTTCCCTAGTAACTAGGCAGTGTTTTCCTTCATGAGTCTGGACACTAGCTAGAGGGCCTCTACCCTTTCCACTGTGGACTATGACAGGAGGGCACGTGAGCAAACTAGTGAAGGAAATAATGGCTCTTGAGATGTACACAGCGGCAAGACATCCGTCAAGGTAAGCACCAGGTGACGTGTGTCGCCTGGCCACTGTGAGAGGGGGTGGGCCCGTTTATGGTCACCCATCTCTCATTACGGTGCCATCTGATCAGCTAGTTCAGCCAAATAGGCGTCTTTCTGTACCACGGGCTTGCATGTCCATTTGCTTCCATCCTATACAGTGGTCTCAAGGTTAACAGAACTACCCTGGTTTGTGAAGTTCAATCAAGTAACAGAAATTTCATCATACTGTGGGATGTTTGCCCATCCCACGGTAAACTTCTCACATACTATCTGTTGAATCACGTAGGTGGACAATATCCTTACACATCTGTGTGAAAACATCCCGCTTCTTTGGTGCCTCGTTAAAATTAACAAGGGTGAAAAAAAAGTAATGAGTTCTATTTTTCCATCAAGAAAACTCTTGTTGAATGATGTATTTAAGTACTACAACATTTTTATGCCTTAGGGGTAACATTTAAATATAAAGTAGTGGTTCAGAATAAAGCCAGGAATTACAAAACATTTGTTACTGCAAGCAATTTTAATACAAAAGTGTGTCTTGTTTTTAAACAGTTCATTGGTAGAGCTTCAATTTCTGCCTCAATTAAAACCAATTGAGATAATCACACAGCAACATGGTCGGAGCTGACGAGGAACAGCAGCTAAAAAACAGGAGCCCCAGACAGCCTCCCTTTGTGGTCACTTGGTCAGCTGACTTTATTACACACAAAAAAGACGGAAGCAAACGGGACTGGTGAACAAGTGTGCTGGTGAACTCCGTTAAAGGATGAGCAAGTGTTTGTCTTAGGTCCACATTTCAAAATAGGCTTATGGAATTCATTCCTCAGTTTGTGGGAGGTTGATCGATTTAAATAAATAGCAAAAAAAAAGAAAGAAAAAAGAAAAAAGCAGATAAACAGATCTGTAATTCACAGTGCCACCAAGGAGTCTCCCTCACCAGGGCCGGGGGCCTGGTGAGCACAGGAGTTCTTAATGGCTAGGCTGGACAGTTAGTTACAAATCAGTTTCAAACCCCAATGTTCTGAAATGTCCTTTCACCCCTGAATCCTAGCAGCTACGTGCCTGTAACACCCAGGACAGAGACATTAGTGTAAGACAGTACTCAATGAACTTCTTTGCTGGATCCTGTGCAAACGGATCTAGAGGAGGTTCTGTCTCTCCAGCTAGAATTACATGACAGTAAAACAATGGAAATGTAATCCTAAGTGCCCTCTCCTTAGTTCTTGCTAATCCAGGTGTCTGTGATTTAAAAAGAAGAGTTCCTTAAACATTGCGGAATTCTTATTTTTAATATAATTTATCTTGCTGATATAGCAAGTCAAGTTTATAAAGAAGATGCATTTAGGAATAATCCTAAAAGATAAAGCAGGTTTACAACCCTGCGCCACATGAAACCCTATTTAGAGGCTTTTCTTTTTAATACACATTTGCGTCTTGACCTTTTGTTTTCCTCAAATATTTCATCTCTGGGCCCCATCCATTACAGGGTTACCAGGAGGCAAATTTTATCTACATAAATATTCACATGAAAATAGTAACTTACAAAAAGGAAAAAAAAATAAGGCAGCTTCATAACACAATTATTCTTTTACAATTTTAACAATATAACTTCTCCCGTTCAGAATAAATATACACCCAATGTATGGAGCAGGATTCAAAATGGATAGTGGTGTGAGGTGCTTGTACAGTGTTATCGCTTGGGACCCGGAGTCCTGGGGGAGGCAGTGGTGGTCTTCTTAGACATGGTTGGGATTTTGGAAGGTTTAGTGAGCCCTCTTCTGGAGCTGCCCTGGCCCCCTGCAGCGCTGCTCTCAGAAGTGTCTGAACAAGCCGACTGAGTCTCTAGAAGGTCAAAGTCAGAGGCATCACTTCCTCTCCGACTGCTGGCTCGACTCCCGGCCCGGCTCCCGGCCCGGCTCCCAGGACGGCTGGCAGACTTCTTAGGGTCTGGAATTTAAGAGTAAAGCAGGAGATTTAATGGAGAAGGCATGATATGGAAACACAAGTGACTGGAGGCCAAGGGGTTGCTGCTAATAGCTCTTGATTTGCTGAGTGGCCTTGGGGGAAACCACAGCCATTCTGGACCCATCCTTTTTTTTTTTTTTTTTGGTTTTTCTGTGTAGTTTTGGTGCCTTCCCTGGATCTCGCTCTGTATACCAGGCTGGCCTCGAACTCACAGAGATCGGCCTGCCTCTGCCTCCTGAGTGCTGGGATTAAAGGTGTGCGCCACCACTTCTCGGCCTAGATCACCTTTCAAAGCTGCTTAGACACCACAGCTCAGGTAAGTGAACTGATGAGGTTGTAGCAAATGTGAGCAGATGGCAAATGGAGGTGAGGGGGTAAGGAGAGAAGCTAAGAGGCCAGTTTTCAGGTTCCCAGGAGGAGCTGCTGTTAGCCAGCTTCGCCTTTCCCAGTTCACCAGCAGCCATACAAAACACAGTGCATTAGGAAAGTTATTAACAGTTTGCTTCAGCTCTGGGCCGGCCCTTTCTTCCTTCCACTCTCCCGACTCATCACTGCTGATCCACACAAGGCTCCAGTGTGGAGTGCAGAGGTTAGAGTTTGCTGCACTGACAGAAAAAAGCGATGGCCGCCTCCAAAGTGCAAGTGTCTTTCTGGGCAGGACACTGAGTGCTCTTCCCAGCACCGGCTCCTGAGAGGCCAGTGCTTGCCCAGTTCCCCCCACCCCAGCCCTATGCATGGTTGGCACTTACCTGCCCGGTTAGTTTTGGCACCTGTGGACGCTGGAGAAGAACTATTGCTGGTGTCGCCAGCGAGGGATGTTCGGCTAGAATGGAAAGTTGGTGTTGGTCGTTTTAGCTTGCTGCCTGCTGCTGGAATAACCTTAAAAATAATAAAAGATCATATTTACTTGATAAAATCTTTAAGTATGTAATTATATAGTCTATTTAAAAGCCTCTTTATAGACAATCATTTGAAAAGCGAATTAAAAGTCCAGGAAAACAAAGTTTTTTTTTTTTTTTTACAAAATGCTTTAATCATAGATTTTTAAAATATTCTCAAGAGGTTTCAAGGTCCAATTAAAAAATCTGAGTGTCTTCTAGTGTCTGTTATTCCCTAGGAATGACAACCGTTCAATGTCTGTTATCCTGCTTATAAACTTCCCTAGGACTATGAGAAGATCTTCAAGTAGTAAGACAGACACTACAGTTACAAATGAATGATGGGTTACAGGAGAAAACCAAGAGCCCTGTGCACCAGTGTGCTGGGCCACACTCTAAAGCACACACAGCAGCTGTAGTCAAGATCTCTCATGAGCACCTATGTCTCTGCTTCTCCCTCGGGAGATAAGGGATGGATCCTGTCTCTCCATTTCTATCACACACCCTACGGCCCAGGGAAATCTTGTCCCCTTGTTCTGAACTGAGCCCACACTGTCCCTGCACAGTGACCTTCCTCCCCAAACACACTCATGGCTTAGACCATGTACTTCAGGGCTATGGTGAGAGGGCGATCCCGTCAGAGAGGCCTCACCTCTCAACACCACTGGAAGCTCTCTTCTACTTCTGCATTTCCATTTTTAAGGATAGCATTTTTCACTGCTTGACATACATATATGCTTATTGCCTTTGTCTCACATTAAAGCATCAATTCCATAAAAGCAGAAACTTTTGTTTTATTATGTACTCTTACATCTTAGCACCTGCAACTACGTGGCAAAAAAGGACAACTCCATACCACCTTGCTGAAAAAACAATGCACAGATGCACATCTTAACCTGAACAAGAGCTGCACTTTATGACTGCTGTTACTGGTAGGAGCTACATTTCCTTACTCACATAGACTTAATGTAGATAAAGAATATTTTACAGTCTGTTTTAAAATATTACTTATGACATGGTATACAATTCCAATTTTTCTTTGAAGTAAGTTGGGTAAATTGTTTTCCAGAACCTTTAAGATGCTTTTATAGATAGGAGGATAAAGCACCCCATCTCATTGTGCAGGGTGAATTTCTTCACAAAGGAAAAGCAAAAGCGACAGGAAGTGATTGACACCCAAGCAAGACCTCTCCTGGCCACCCAGGAGGAGGCGCACCAGTTCCAAGAGCTATCCTTCCTGAGCACCGCTGCCTGGAGTTCACAGCTCTGGCGCCTCTGGACTGGGGTTCTAAGTTAGGGCCTGGCCTGGCTACAGAGTCTCAAGGAGTAAACAACTTGAAACGAACGATTACATTGTAAAATAAAATACAAAGGGCCATTTCTGAACCCTATGGAGTCTGTTGGAGCAACACCGGCACTTTTCACATTTGGGATTTCAATGGAGCTGGAGCCATCACAGAGGGAAAAAGCAAGGGCAAGTTAAATCTTGGGTTCTCAGGCAGTCAGCCAGTGCCCAGTTCCTGAGACCATAGCCCACAGTTCTCAGATGGAGTTTGAGCTGGGAGTGGGGTAAGTCCATAAGTGGCAGTTCATTCACAGCCCCTGGCTTCTGTGCCCGACCAAAGCAACACTGTGCTTGGAGGGTTAGAATTCAACATTCTCTGCAGGGGCTGAGAGATGCAAAGTATGCTGCTATTACACAACCTCTCTGCCCAGGTTTTGTTTCAGTTTTTTTCTTTTCCTCTTTTGAGACAGGGTCTCAATATATGGTCCACACAGCTTTGACGTCCAATCTGCTGCCTCAGCCTCCCAAGTGCTGGGATTATAGGTGTGTGCTACGACATCCAGCCATGTTTTTTTTCTCTAACATTGTTCTTCTAAACGTGTTTAGGTATTTTAATGGCTGTATGTGAACATGTTGGTATGTGTATTCAAATTAAAGCTACAGTAAACCAGGTACCTAACTAAGCCAAGGAACCAAGAAGGTAGAGCTGGAGCCCCAGAGCAGTGGTCACTTGTAGGGAAACTGTGCTTGGCTGGAGTAGAGAGCACCCGTGCCTTGGACCCATGTGGCAGCACCAACCACCCTGGGGAGGGACCTTGCAAATCATCCTCCTGTTCTAAACACATAGAACATTGGTGAACATGCGCTGTGGTTTAATTTCAAGTGTTTGTAACTCGTCTATGTAGCTGACATTTGGAGATTCCAAGAGACCTATTTACAAGTCATATTAACAAGTAAACAGCCAGGAATGACTGTGATCAATCATCCTGAACAAATGTTATGCTTAAAAACTTATAAAGTTGTTAAACAATCTTGTTTTAGGCATCTCTTATTCATCTCCAATTTTAGTGAATCCGAGTTAGAAACTCCTGAAAACACTTGGCCAACTTGATCAATCAGCTGTGTCAGCAAGCATCCCAGAGATGGAAGAGACATTGGGCTCATGTCAGGAAAAAGAGCTGGGCAGGTTCTTGGCATGAGTGACGGCCTCTTCGTGACTGTGTCCCACTCAGCAAAGCCATACTCTACCTCAGGACTGAGTAGCTGGAGGTCAGGACAATGGCTGTCCCTGACATGGGTGCCAGCTTTACTGTTTACCAACCAGGGTTTGTCATAACAGCGAGAGAGCTGAAGTGGAGTCTGTGAAAGGGAGATCCAAAGGGAAGGGCAGAAACAATTGAAAAATGGAACAGAAAGGGGAGTAAATGGGGGGGGGGAGACACTAAATTTTAAAGAAACAGAAAACAAATAAAATAGACGTAAGTCCAATGGGCCAAGATGGAGCAGGTAGAAGGTATTCTTCACGTATATCTCACTGTACCAGCCAGCAAGCCCATCTGTCAGCTCCAGTTGCACAGACAGTACCTGGACTTTCCAAACCAGTGACCTAACTCTGGACAAACTCCAACTCAAACAAAGAGTAAGAAGAAAGAACAAAGAAGATGTAACCAGCCTGAACAGGAATTTTACAAAATCCCTCAAAGGTGGTGATCTGGGCAGAGTTGCTCTATGTTTTTACGTTCTTTTTCTTGCTAGGCTTTTCAAGGTCTGCCCATCAACGAGCATCTACCAAGATAGGAATAGCGAAGAACAGCACAAGGGAGGTCAGCACACACCTTGGTCCCGCTGGCTGGGGTGGCTGGAGAAGAAGGCATGGACGTACAGCTGTGATTACTCTGACTAGCACTTGAGCTGGAGCGGGTGGGAGAAGCAGCTCGGGAAGATGGTTTGGATCTTCGACCCCGTGATCGGAATGGAGTCATCCCCTGGGATGCCCCTTCTGGCAGGATGAATTTTTCTCGAAGTTCTATGTTAGTTCTGCCTCGTGCTAAAAAGAGAACACACACACACACATGCATATAGTTAGTTATTTTAAAAATATATCTTGGATGGTCATACAGCTGCTTGACCCCATGATAACAGTAAGCTGTGCATAGGTTTTATACCACCTATGGATTCTTTAAAAACAGCTTTGTCATGTTCTGACCCCCAGCAGACACACTGGCTAAGATCTTAGCTTGCTCTAACAAGCAAGCCTATCAACAGAGGACCATCTACTCTGCTGTCATCATCTGGCTTTGCTGCTGTCCCCTGGGGTAAGCACACCGTAGCTGCTCAAGGAGACATAAATACAACATGACACAAGCCTCTGATCTTAATCACACTCCTGTTTTCTCTCTCATAGACATGTGTACTTTTTGCTGAATTTTTACAAGATACATGGTAATGAGATAGTGGAGAAAACACATTAATGGCATCAAGACTCTTCCATTTGAATTCTGTCAATAATAATCCTAAAGGAAGGGGTTCAGAAAGCCAGGATAGTAGAGATAAGGACAGAGTCTTTAAGAAGCAAACATGTAGGGAGAGAGAAAGACCAAGACATGCACAAAACTGAGAGTGAGAATCTGTTAGGTAAAAGCTGAAAGAGCAGTTGCAAGTAGGGGAGGAACTGAAGGGAGAGTCAGGAAGAGTACTGAAGGCAAACAGGAGCTGCCTCCTCGCTTTCTGGAGCTGTAAGACCAGAACTTCAAATATGGATTTAGTCAGAGATATCAGGTATAGTCACAACAAATGTTGACGTCAAAGACACTGCTAATTTAAAAGCAATACATCCTCTGGAAAAGATCCTTTGATTTCTCACTGGACAATGCCCTGCAGTAACCTTGGACCTGTTCGTCCACTATCAACTGTTCATTTGAAGATATTAAACCTATCAGCAGGTGGTGGTGGAACCCTAATTGAGTAAACATTTGATAGTTCCCTTCTAAACACACTGCCTGAGGGGAGGAAAAAAATCAACAGAGGATACAAGAGGAAGCCTTGGGAATGGTAACTAGTTGGGGACAGCCACATTTAAAATGTTTTAGAGAAGCTATAGGCAGGTGGTAGCATGAACCAGCTACTTCAGACTGAGGCAGGGAGGATGCTTCAGCCCATGAGTTTGAGACTAGCTTGGGCAAACAGAGCAAAATCCCATCTCAACAAACACACACACAAAGAGGACTATCTGTAGTAATGGAGTGATAAGATTATGTTCCTCCCACACTATAATTTATACAGTGTTACCACATGCAATACTATACTTGATTTTCATTAGCATCTCTATCCCACTAGACAAAGGAATGAAGTGCCTACAAAGATTGGTCAAATCACAGCAGAGGCAGCCTGTCTATTATATTAGCTATTCTCTCTACCCTGCCTCCAAGCCATTCCTGGCCATTCTCTTTATGACATCATCCACATCAGCTTATCTCCACTACTCCATGGCATTTGCTAGGTAAAGGTCTACTTCATAAGGGGACCTTCTTGCAGTCCCAGAAGCCATGTAAATGCCAGGTATGGAGGGGGCATTTGTAACCCCAGCGCTAGGGAGAGGAGGCAGGTAGACCCTGGTGGCTCACTGGTTAGTCAGTCTAGCCCAAACAGCAAGCTCCAGGTTTAGTGACAGAAATGCCTGAGGAAGATATCCCAATGTCAGTCAGCCTCTGGCTTTTACAAGCTTCAGCACACCGTTTTGTCCTCTAAGAACAAAAGTTGCTCATTCTTACATCCTACAGCACATCACCGTTAACATACTGGCATGTCTTTGTTTCTTTGAGCAACTGTATACATACTTTTAATACAAAGGTATCAGGAATATTTCTCCATTTCCTATGTGTCTCATGTTAAACTTCAACTAACTTTAAAGTATAATTTCATCATATATATGTCATTTTACTGGTTAAATGTTACACTTCTAATTTGCTAATAGTTTCAAAAATACAGCATCCAATGCTGTGACAACATCTAAACTATTTTTGTACATATTCTGACGTTTTCCTAAGGATAAATTTATACAAGCAGCTTTGCTGGGGGAGGGGGAGACATTTTCTCCGGAGGAGTATGCTCCTTTAGTAGCCCTAATTAAACTCTGGTTCAGTGGGCTCACACATGAACATGAGTGCACACCCGTTCAGAGTTCTAAGCCAAATATTTTTTAGATTATGATTATGAGTGTCCTGTCTGCATGTATGTATGAGTACCATGTGTGCCTGATGACTGTGGAGGTCAGAAGAAGGTGTGGAATCCCTAGAAATGGAATTATGGATGGCTGTGAGCCACCAGATGGGTTCTGGGAACTGCATTTGCTGTGCCCTCTGTAAGAGTAACTCTAGTTACTGAGCCAGCTCTCTAGCTACTTATCTTTATTTTATAACGTGTGCGTGCGCATGCGCACATTGAGTGCAGGTGCTCACAGAAGCCAGAAGAGGGCATTAGATCCTTTGGAGCTAGACTTATAGGCAGTTGTAGGTCTCCTGATAGGGGTGGGAACTGAACTCTTAACTGCTGACCCAGTCATTTCTCCAGCCCTGAAAACTATCTTTTAAATCTCCATAAATGAAGATTTCTAGATCTTTACTACCTGAGGGAAGTAATGTGTAACCCTTTAAAATGTATATACACAGTCCATCAGACACAGGTCTACCCATTTTTAAAAAGCACAAACATGCCCCAGTGTGCATGTGTAAGTCAGAGGGCAACTTCAAGGGTCAGTTCTCTCCTTTCACTACGTAGGTTCCAGGCACCAGGCTTGGCAGTAAATGCCTTCTCCTGCTGAGCCGTCTCACCTCACTAGGCCAGAAGCACTGTTTTCATCTCCATCCAAAGCAGTCTGTATGACCTCCTTTGTCACAAAAACAACAAGCAAACAAGACCCACTGTGGCAGTATCAGAAAACTAAATAGCAGACCCACCTGGTGGAATATTATTTTTTTTAAATTTGGCTAAACCAACACATTATTTGAGATTGTTTATTGTTTTAGTAGCTATGTGAAAGGAAGTAATAAATGAATTGGTATTAATAATCTTGTCGATAATTCTAAGATGTCTTCAGCATATCATGCCTCTATAGTTCACAGGCACAAAGATACAACAGCAATTGGCCCTACAGAAACCCTAGATAGGTCCTTATCCACTTCGTCGATTTTTTTTTTTTTTTTTTTTTTTTCCAGTCAGGGTTTCTCTGTGTAGTTTTGGTGCCTGTCCTGGAACTCGCTCTGTAGCCCAGGCTGGCCTCGAACTCACAAAGATCCGCCTGCCTCTGCCTCCTGAGTGCTGGGATTAAAGGCGTGCGCCACCACCGCCCGGCTTCGTCTATTTTTTGATGAAGGGTTTTACAATGTAGCCCAAGCTACAATTCTTGATCCTCCTGCTTCTGCCTTAAATAGCTGGAATTATAGGCAAATGCTACCAGGCCCAGCAAGTAACTTGTCTTCTTGATGTTCATGTCCCTCCAACTTACTGGCACGCACTCTAGCCCTTGGTGCTTACTTCTAGCACTGTTTTGATATGACAAGAAAGTCCACTGGTGGTAGTTACTGAAAGCTGCTGTTAAGTTCTATTTCAGTCAATGGACAGAAGTTGATTGCCAAGCTCCAAGGAGGCATTCCTGGAGAGTTGGAGTGTCTTACCTTTGCTCTGAAGGATGAAGAAGAGGGCTACCAGTTCCCACAGAAAAACAGTGTTAGGTAGCCCTCCCCAATTTCCTTGGAGTTCCAATTTTTACTGAGGAAGATAAAGATAAGCAGAGAGTATTCTTGCCAGCCAGCAGCATAATACAAGTGTGAACAGAGCAGGCAGCAAACAGACAGGCAACCAAGGATCATAAAGGCCACATGCAGTGTCGGTGTTGCTTAGCCTAACTATATACATGACAGGAAAAATGGGGCGATAAGAGATTTAGAGAACACTGTTTCGTTGTTTTTACAGAGATAAGGTTAAAAAGATGCGTATGTTGTTCAAGTTCATGATACGATTGATTAAATACTAAAACTGACTACGTCTTTTTACAGTTTATCGGAAAAGGTATTGTCAAACTTAAATTTAAAAACTTCTGATAGCAATCATTACTCCTCAGCTATTATTCTGGCCTATTGGAGTAAATGCAGAATGAATTAAAGAGAAGAAACTCATAGACACTCCTGCACTCATGTGAGAACCATACCCTTTAGGTATCTCTAAATCTTTCAGAATGATTGAAA